TGCCCCCCAACTTCTGTTATTACTTTATAAAAGTATAGTCCAACCTGTCATCCTCTACTGTGGCATTATTCTTGTTGTTATGTCGTGGTGTCCCTATGTATCTTGTATCTATGTATGTATGTCTGAAAGCTATGTACAGACTGTGATTTCCTGTGAAGGACAATAAAGTATCTTTCTATCTATGTGGGTATTATATGGGCTTAAAAATGGGCCCCATATGGACAGATAAGATGCCCATTTTGGGCCCATACCCACTTGGTACCCATGTAGCCTGAGCATAACCCATGTGGGGCCCACAAATACAAATTGGCAAAAAACAAAACACTGGCTCTAGATTGGTCCTTATGGGTTTTGGGACCATTGTTTCTTTTACATGAAAGAAAGGTGCTATAGTAAACAAGTACAGGTCCATTTACCATTTACCATTTACCATTTACTATGTAATCACAACATTCCTAATTCTTGCATGCCATCCCCTATCTCTCTCCTCATTTGCTATGGGCTTTCTACTGTCACTGTATAATAAGGCAAAAATACTCTCCAAGTACTTTTAAAATGGTTATTGCTGCAATAAAGAAATTAAATGTAATCAATAAAAGGATACTGTGATTTTTTTGGCTTTCTTTTGCCATACAGCTGAGAGCAAGTTCAAAGTATACAGTTTATTCAAACAAAAAACCTTTGATGTTGAATTTATTTTTTGAATATAGCAGTAAAAAATGTATACAGTGTATTTAGATGAGCAGTCGGTGGAAACACTCAACACACACACAAAGAAAGAGTGAGAGGGAGAGAGAGAGAGAGGGCGAGGGAGAGGGAGAGGGAGATAGAGAGAGAGATCTGGTCTGAGAGGTTTTCAGACGAGTTCAGTTCCTGTGCTGCCCTGTTCTCTACATTTGGTTATTAGTGTTCTGTTTGTTTTAAGTTTGTGTACGCGAGACCATCGATGTTCAGAGAGCTCAACATCTGGATGCGTTGATGTCTGGATGGAAGGACAACCAACAGCACCGTGAACACGCCGTGGAGAGGACGTTGCGTTACGCGCCAGGGTTTCTGTAACTTATTCTAACAGGTGAAGCTGGAGAGTTGAACAAAGATCAGTAAGGATGGTTCGGACATGTGTGTTCTCTGGTTCTCGGAGTGCGTGGGGTGGGTGATGGAATAAACCAAACACATTTGGTCTGTTCTCTGGATCAGCATAACACAGTCCTGCTGCTCATTTATTTTATTGCTGGAATCTGGACTGCGGGGATGCTAGGGGGGCGATTTCATCTCTCAGTAACATAACTGCATTTGTTCCATGAGTCTATGGGTAGAAGATCAGCGGAGACTTACCTTTATGCAAGAATAATTTATCAGAACTTCAAGAGATGAAGGAAAAATGCAAGAACGCGGCGAAGACACGAAGAGAGAAGGAGAACGGAGAGTTTTATGAGCTGGCCAAGCTACTGCCTCTGCCGGCGGCCATCACCTCCCAGCTGGACAAGGCCTCCATCATCCGGCTGACCAGCAGCTACCTCAAGATGAGGGCGGTCTTCCCCGACGGTAGGCACCAGGGAACAGCCAGAGAGCGGCACACATTCTGAAGACAGTGAATATCAAATACTCAAAAAAACCCAAAAAAACAAACAAACCACAAACTCCGCATGTTTA